CTCCCCGCTTATGCTAATGAAGCCCGGGAAATTCAAATCCCGGGCTTCATTAGCAAGTGCGGTATGCATACATTACCCTCCTAGTTCGAACTAGGAGGGTAGTGTAGACATACCCATGCTTATTTCAGTTTAAGTAAAACAGACAAATTCAAACATAAAAGCCTCTTAGTGAAAACCTGCTAAATGGCTAAGTGACAATAGTGCAAAACTCCAAAAATGAAGCCCGGGAAATTCAAATCCCGGGCTTCATTAGCAAGTGCGGTATGCATACATTACCCTCCTAGTTCGAACTAGGAGGGTAGTGTAGACATACCCATGCTTATTTCAGTTTAAGTAAAACAGACAAATTCAAACATAAAAGCCTCTTAGTGAAAACCTGCTAAATGGCTAAGTGACAATAGTGCAAAACTCCAAAACAGAAAGCCTTGAAGAAAGGAAATGTTAGGTACCTACACACAATGTTCGCTCTCATCTTTTCCACCCATGTGCAGAATACATGTTTATGTGCACTGAGGCACGTATGGATGTGCACCACTAGGAGAAACATAAATGTAACTGTGGGTGCTCTGCTAATCAGCTGGGTGGCATTAGAATCCTTCCTAAGTGACTGCACAAGTGCACAGCTTTCAGGGAACACTGCCTACACACATCACCTTCTCCCACCGACATACCCCCAAGCACACAGCGTTCATTCCCCTAACAAATCATGCCTTTTTTAAATTAAAGCAAAAAAATAGTCCCCTTAGCTGGGCTGTACAGTGAGTCATTATGAAAAAATAGTACTTAAAATCATTGTGATCTAATTTGGGACTAGAAATGCAATTAACCATAGAAACCACGAGCAGTCCTGTGGCACCTTAGAGATTAACATGTATCATGAGCTGTCATCAGCTGCAACTCACTTGTCAGATGCATGAAGTGAAAGACAAAGGAGACAGATAATAGGGATGCAGACTCCAGTTCATCAGATGAAGTGGGTTTTACTCATGAAAGCGCATTCTGGAGTAAAGCTGTTAGCCTCTGAGTTGTCCCAGCATTCCTCCTTGGTTTTTTTAGAGGTGGGAGTGTTACATCTGAACTAATTCAATCTGGGAGGATGTGGATAAGAAGATGAGAATATCTACCTGAAGGAACAATGGTCAGGATCCCTACAATTATAATACCATGAAATTTCAGATTTAAATAGCTGAAATAATGAAACTAATGATTTTTAAATTCCCATGACTATGAAATTAACTGAAATGGGCCATGAATTTGATAGGGCCCTACACATAGGTCTCTGAAGGATTTTTTTCCATGCTAGGATATGTTTGATTACTGAACCATGTTGCTGAGTTTAGAAAACAATATCGATGTATGTTAAATGAAACAAACGCAAAAAATTATTCTTTTCTGAAATACTTCTAGCTAAGAAGGCAGATGGAACTCTGCGCTCCATCGGCTTTGAAATCTGCACAAGGTGAGAACATCTCCCAATACTGACCATGCTGTGTTGCCCTAGGAGAGAGCGAGTGTCTGTCAGTTCCCTGTGGCTCCATTCTGACACTAAAAACTAGGGACTATATTGTCAAAAGCAGCCTTCAACTGAGGGTGCTTATGATTTTCAGTGCCAAATCGAAGATACCTTAGGCATCGCTGAGAACATGCAGATCTCTTTGATTTAGCACCTCTGAAAATCTGGCCCAAGATGTCTCAAGTCAGGAACACAACCCCTGTGGCATTTCCCTCTTCCTCTGGAATTTCCTTCTCCCTGGTAACAATCCCTGATGTGGCTGAGTCCATCCCAGGGACTGTTAGCAGGGAGAAGGACTCTTATGCTGAAATTCCAGAGAAGGAGGGAACTGCCACAGAGGTTGTGAAGGGGGCGGGAGATTGTCTCTCAGGGTACGTCTAAACTACATGGCTCCGTCGATGTATCCATGTAGATTTGTTTGTTTGGCAAAGGGAAATGAAGACGTGATTTAAATAATCGCGGCTTCATTTAAATTTACATGGCTGCCGCTCTGAGCCGACAAACAGCTGATCAGCTGTTTGTTGGCTCAGCACGCTAGTGTGGATGCTCCCCTGTCGACATGAAAGCCTTTTATCGACCTCTCCGGTAAACCTCATCCTACGAGACATAACGGGGAGGTCGATAAAGGGTTTTCAGGTCGGCGCGGGAGCGTCCAGACTAGCGCAGCCCGGCAA